CCGGCCCCCTCCCGGGGGGGGTGGGCTGAGCAGCAGCAAAGGCCTTGACTTTGTGTAAGCACTGCTGAAACAGCTAAAACATCCCTGCGTTATCAACCATGTTTCCAGCACAATTCCAAAACATAGCCCCATCCTGGCTCCTATGAAGAAAATTAACTCTACCCCAGCCAAAACCAGCACAAAACCAAATACATGTAAGGGTCAGACTCGTTTATATGACTTAAACTGCACTTAACAGTCTGTGTCTGACATTTCTTGTTGGCTAGATCTAAGCCTCCTCAAACCAATGAGAAACACTAAGCCAGGAAATTAGCCTGAATTTAGGCCAGAGGAATATGAGTCACAGCAAAACAAAAAAGCCATAGGACTGGGAACGTGCCACACCATCAGAAGCTGAAGCATTGGAAAGCAAAACCACCCAATATAGATTCATAGATCCTTTAGGTTGGAAAAGACCTTTAAGATCATCAAGTCCAATCATTAACCTAACCCTGCCATCCCACCACTAAACCATGTCCCTAAGCACCTCGTCCGCCCGTCTTTTAAATACCTCCAGGGATGGGGACTCCACCACTTCCCTGGGCAGCCCATTCCAATGCTTAACAACCCTTTCTGTGAAAAATTTTTCCTAATGTCCAACCTAAACCTGCCCTGGCGCAACTTGAGGCCATTTCCCCTCGTCCTATCGCCCATTACCAGGGAGAAGAGACCAACATCCACCTGGCTACAGCCGCCTTTCAGCCTCCTATCGCCCTTTCAGAGGGTGATAAGGTCTCCCCTCAGCCTCCTTTTCTCCAGACTAAACAACCCCAGTTCCCTCAGCCACTCCTCATCAGACTTGTGCTCCAGACTCCTCACCAGCTTCATTGCCCTTCTCTGTTCCAGCAATGCAACGTCTTTCTTGTAGTGAGGGGCCCAAAACTGAACACAGGATTTGAGGTGCGGCCTCACCAGTGCCGAGTACAGGGGCACAATCACTTCCCTACAGTCCAGGAAAAAAAAGAGACTAATAAAAAAGGATAGTCATGCATGCTGTATTTCTAGTGATCTATAGAAGCAGCTATAGACATTTTCTGCTCTGTGACCAGCCATCTCAAGAGCCTTTGGATAGACTGGAAACAGTCTCGTGGTGCGGCACAGCCTTTGATGCTGGTACACACAGACATTTTCAATAGCTCTCTCATCAGATTCAAAGTGGGAGAAATAGATGCCATATGGAGATACACATGAATACATGCCTAATCACTTATTTGTGCCCAAACAAACTTCTTCTCTACAGGAACATATGAGGAGTCCATTGCTATGGCGATAACTGTTCTGGCAACTACCAGGTATTTCTGTTTCAGCTGGAGAAGGGCCAGTTGGTGCTCTGATTATCCCCAAGATTGGTACACACATATGCCAGTCAAGGTCCAGCTGAGCCTAGATGATATGCTGGGCTTGCTCCAGTAGCCAAGGCAAACCAGCTTCAAAAGCCAAAGCCAAACTATGGAGTGATGTGTGTTGTGCATAAACATCCAGCCACCTCTGCATCCCCAAACCAGATAGCCGCTTACAGCCAGCCTACCTGGAAATGGCTTTTGGCATATGGGGGAAACGTAAACTCAGGTTTTAGAAATTTTACCTGAATTTTACCTGATCTGTCTCCACACACTCATGTGTGGTTGTTTTCCATGTGATCAGGAGCATGTCAGACACAAGACTGTCACAGGGTAGTCAGCTCCTTTGTGTGAGGTCTCTCAGCTCCTCACTGAGCTTGGCATGAAGGCTGAGGTTAGCACATAGTTAATAAATGGGGAGAGGATGTAGCAAGTTGATGCATCTTCGGAAGCAATTTTGCAAAGGCTGTGAAGAACTGGTGAAGGCTGAAACCAGAGAGGTTTGTTTCAGCTTAGTCTGTTGGTTCGGGTTGCCTGGAGGGGAGCGTGGCCCGCAGGTCGAGGTAGGTTATCCTCCCCCTCTACTCTGCCCTAGTGAGACCCCACCTGGAGTACTGTGTCCAGTTCTGGGCTCCCCAGTTCAAGAAAGATGAGGAACTCCTAGAAAGAGTCCAGAGGAGAGCAACTAGGATGATAAAGGGACTGGAGCATCTCCCCTATGAGGAAAGGCTGAGAGAGTTGGGCTTGTTCAGCCTGGAGAAGATTGAGAGGGGGACCTCATCAACACATACAAATATCTTAAGGGTGGAAGTCATGAGGACAGAGCCAGACTCCTTGCAGTGGTGCCCAGCGACAGGACAAGGGGCAATGGGTACAAACTGAAGCATAAGAGGTTTCAGTTGAATAGGAGGAAAAACTTCTTTACTTTGAGGGTGACAGAGCACTGGAACAGGCTGCCCAGGGGGGTTGTGGAGTCTCCTTCTCTGGAGATATTCAAAGCCCACCTGGACGAAGTCCTGTGTAGAATGCTCTAGGAGAACCTGCTTTAGCAGGAGGGTTGGACTAGATGATCTCCCGAGGTCCCTTCCACCCTTGCGATTCTGTGATTCTGTGATTTCTCCCACGGCAGAGCTGGAAAGGGGGCTGTGAGAGTTTGCCGCAGTGCTGCTCTTTGGCCAGAGTTGAGCCCAGGGGGCTGACAGTCAGCAGGTAGGCAGAGATGCTGACCGAGTGACACAGGTTAGAGCTGGGATCAAGGAGAACCATGAAGGACTCTACCCCAGACAGAACATTTGCAGTGCCTTTACTGAGAAGAGCAAGAAAAAACAGCTGGAATTGCTGATCTCCAAGAGGAAAACTGAGGAAGGAAATGTTGGAAATAGTTGCCTGCATGTGAGGCTCTTGGAAGAGCTGGAAAATATTTAGCTTCCTGACTTGCAGCACAACTGCTGGAGAGCAATCTCTCCTGCCCTGGGGCACTGCTCAGGGAGCTCTGCCTTCCTCCAGCACCAGTGCTGTTGTGTTTACGGTAAAAGTCTTGCGGCCTTCAGACTAAAAGCGTTCAGTGGTACTAAAATCAAGCTGAGTTCATTTCAGCCAAAGTCTAAAATAGATAATGAGAAAACAGCCCTGTTGAATGCTTCTTCACTTATTTTTCACCTTAAGGACCACAGATACCCTACAGCCACTGAGCAGCTTCAGGCTGGAAGAGCCCTATCCCAGCAGCCACTTTAGTTGGCTCAGAACCTGTGGGAGTTTATTTTTTCCCCTTAAATCCCAACAGCTCCTTTCTTTATTACCACACAAGGATTTCAGATTTTGTTTAAAAACAGATGGCCTTCATGTCAGTAAAAGAAAGCCTAAAGGTGCGAACACTAGCAGTTTAAAAGCCAGTAATCCTTTTATTTTCTCAGTCTTCAACACTTGGCACAGGTGACAATGACAACATCCGATAGGGAAATTTTTTTTGTGTAAGGTTGAGCTGCCCATCTATACAACATGAATGCTCTTTTCGAAAGGAGTAATTTTAGAGAACGGGGAGAAGGAGACTCTGTAGTTCTGTAGGCACCAGAAAGGCCTGACCTGTCTCGCTTTCTGGGATGGGGCATCTACAAGAGGATCCTGTGCAGATCGCCTGCTGTCTAACATGCTGCCCACTCATACACACTGAGCGCTTCAAGGCGCTCTGTCCTTGCTGCCTCCTCTCTCTTGCTCAATCGAAATGAAATCTCTATTCCTCTTTTAAACTTGCCAGGACTAATCGTATAACCCTTCTTTCCATAAGAAACCAGACTTCAAGGTCCCTGGCTGGTTTCTGAACAAGAAACTGAAACAAATCTGAGCCGCTGTCTCCCCCCAGTGTCAGCATCTTTTCTTGTTTAAGGCTGCAACTGCAGCACATAAGGATCCCCAAGGGTAAAAAAACCTGCTGTAACCTATCCAGTGATAGCATAGCTCAAAACTCTACCCTGGAATGTCAGAGAACAGATACTGGTTCAGGTTTGGGAATGGATAAGATCTCTTCTTATTTTGGAAACTCTAGGTTATCAGCCTGCTGTGACAGCCATCACAAGCTCTGGGGGTTATCTATGCTGTAGTGTTACTCTGAAGTGAAGGAAAAAAGCAGCCAGGCTGGACCAGATTTGAAGTCTTACATGTACAAAGAGGTTTTCTGATTTGGCTGTAGAGGCAGAAAAGGTAGCGATGTGGGGGACTTCTGAGGAGACTCCTCACAGCTGCTTTCTCTCCTGTTCAAGACAGGGACAAAAAAGAGGCTCCTTGTGTTAATGCCCTTCTTGCACATGTTTGGCAAGGTAGGGCTCCCAGATTTTAATGCCAGCCTCGATTGCTTTGGGTGCTAAATGATGCCCAGTTGCTTTGATGCTAAATGACTTGCTTTAAAGGGAGATTGTGTACCTTTGATTCTGCTTACACAGCAACTGTATTGAAGTGGAGAATACCTCTGCTTTCAGTTTAAAAAAACAAAAAAAGCTCATTATTACTATTGGTCTAGAAAAATCTACTCTTGGTTGAGTCTAAAAAAATCTAGATTGGGTCCAGTATTCAAAGGCAACTGATGACTGCATGGAGCCAAGACATTGCTTACTTTTGAAGCTGGTGGACACTACAGAGGCCTGACAATTTCCTGTTAAGGTTTGGGCATGTGGCTTAGCTAAGTACCTTGGTGCCTTTCCCTCAATAGCTGTTTAATGGAGGTGGTTAGCAGAGTCTGTTCTCACTGAACACCGCAGCCATTTAATTAAATTACCATTCAATTCTGCTTTTGCACAGACAGATGACTGCTGAGACCGTAGAGGGAAACTGAGGTTTTACAACAGCAGGATGAATTCTGGCAGTCCTGAGGCTACCGTAGCAGATATCGCTCTATCCTGGGAATGGGTTTCTGTAATACTTATATTCCCCAGTCACCAAGGTGACCGCATGAACAGCAAGATTTTAAAAATCACTGCAGTTCCCGGTGAGTAACTCCACCACAGCAAGAGCTCTCTGAGCATCAGCCATATCAGCTGCACACAAACTTAGATAATGCTTGAAAGAGGGATACTGCAGCAGCGTGCGCTGGTGTCGCCACGGTGGGCACCTCAGCCCACAGCCGCAGGAAGAAGGCAGGAGCTAGCCATCCCAGAGGCCTCCTACATCCTGCTGGTCTGTCCATGAACCTTGTACATACCCATGATGAATTCAGAGTGTTTTTCTCTTTAAAACCAGCCACCTCCTTGCAGCTAATCTTTAAAAACTGCCTCCCCTGCGGCTCTAACTGTAGCATTTGAGTAAGCAGCAACCAAGGCCATTACTTTTTTTTTTACAAAGGATTTTTTATTGCATAAATAGAGGGTTAGATATTTTGCTGTACGTATAAAAAGCTGAGATACAGTTTAAGCAAATGTTACTCTTGAGGGTTTTATTCCTTTGACACATCCTTCATCTACAAGGAAGGCTTCGCTCTCCCAGGAAGGGAATCCAATGCAAGCTGCCAAGTGCCAGAAAATCTGCAGGGTGGGGAAACAGCAGTGAGAACAGCAGGTGTGATATGCTGGCAGCACATGGGCTAAATCTGCATGCCCACGTGGCATGCTGCAATCGGAGCTAATCACAGCTCGGCGGTGCTGACACTGGAGAACATTTTTAGGGTAGGAGAATTCACCCCTTCTCACAATCCCATTATAGAAAGACATGGCTGACAGCCCAAGAGATGGCAGAATTTAGGAAGGACTGGGCCTCTGGTGGGCAACACTGGGTGACTAGGGTGTTTTCTGCAAGATCAGAGATGCGTTAATGCCAGTCATGCAACAAGGTCAAACATCACACGCTGGACACAGAGGCCTTGTGGGATGAGCTCCTGGCGCAGCAATTCCTTGGGCTTTGGACTCTGCCAGGCAGAACTGCCTGGGACCCAGCGCTGCACACACAGCACGGTATGGTCTGCTCATGACAAGGAGCAGGCTTACTCACTTGCAGGGCAGCCCACCTCTCATTTGTTTAGCAAGAAAACTCCATATAACTTACTCTGCCTGCAAAAATGGAAAGAAGTGTTCCCAGCATTTTCCAGTGGCTAGCTAAACTGATTTAAAACAAGAGTTTAAAATGGCACAAGTCTGCCCAGAGACAAGTCCTCAATCTGATGGAAACAGGAGACTGAAAAACACCTTTGGTTTTGTGTTTTTTTCTGTGCAAATGACCCACTTCATTCCTGTGGTTATTTCCAGGGCCCCATTTCTTGACACAATTTCCAAACCCTGTTGCATGAAATAAAACAGTGATAGGTTTGAAATCAGAACTAGTAAACATTTCTAAAAAGTGAAACTCTTTTCATATGTGAGGTGATGACCTCAAAAGGGGAAAGTAAAGTTTTTTAGTTTAATAAAGAGTAACATTACATCAACCTCCCACTGAGCTTACAAAGGGCAGGCAGGAATAGAATTCCCATTTTGCTGCAGAACAGAGAGATGTGAAATGAACTGATACAAAAATCACATACCAAACAAGTCAGGGAATACAATCTTAGCGCTAGTCAGCACTCATTTTGCTAATGGACTTGATCCAATGAGGCAATGATTGCTTAAACTTTGAAAACAGTAGGAAGGAATTCAGCACACAGGGAATGAAAACATAAAACTTTAAGATATTTTGTGATGATCATTTTGCTTTCTTATGCAGAAATGTGTCCATTTTTCTCAGTGAAGTATATATAATGGATGTTACATAGCATAACCTGTAGCATTTATGTTACCTTGGGAAGCTCCATGGCATGAGATTTGGCGGTTCCAGCTAAACTATCTACAACTTGTCATGTATTTAACTAATATAGAATGGCTGAGTCTTTTCTATCTTAGTTATGTGATATAAGGCCAGGAGGTCTGACTGCATCATCCTGTCTGTCACGCCTCTCACACATTTTTTGCCAATTTAACCATCTCTTTACAGATCGGGATTTCCTGTGCAATTGGCTGGGTGTAAAAATTCAGGGAAATTAAGAGAAGAGAAGGAATACTGTGCTAAGGTCTCCTAAATCACGAAACATGGCTGCCAAGTTTTCTGGTAGCGACCACGGTTCTTACAAAGAATGGGCATCATATGGGTGTGCAAATATGCTGAAGCATTGCAGGAGACAAATATTACAAGAACTCAGATAATGGTGACAGTTCTAATTGCACAATCCAAATGTATCCAAGCCAAACATAATAGGATTAATATGTCAATGCCATTATCGAACACCAGGACGTCGAATAAATTCTATACCTGAGAGAGTCTTCAATCATCCTTCTTCTCTACTTCTGCTTTAAATTTCTCTTCACGTTCCCTCTTTAATTTTTCTTCAAGTTTTTTACTCTGGTACATTTTTACTCCGGCAAACGCTAAGCAAAGAATCAGTGTCTTAGCTGCCAAAATGTACATCAGCAATGGGAAATTCTCCAAAGCCTGAAATGCAGAACAATATATTTAAGCAGTTACTGGAACACTCGGACAATTAAAAATTAATCTACAAGGATGCTACACAGTTTCCTACAGCAACAGCATTATTCAAAGCAATGGTATTGCTCCGCTGTTGATGCTTTTTTTTCTGTAGGGACTTTAAACTAGGCAGATCAACATCTAGGGGAAAGGACAAAACCAAGTTTACTCAAGTTTGTATACGAAGCCCCTTTGCACAGGTCTGTGTCGCTTTTGCTTGCTTTACAGCAAATGGAATACTGGCATGACCTAGACCTGAAAAAGGGGAAGGATGGAATATCTTAGGATAACTGTAAAAGTGGAAATGCTTCTGAACAATTCTCACACAAGCCATGAATCCGTGCATATCAGCTATCAAGTGTGATCCCCAGAGACACTTCTGTGCTCCTAGAAATTTTAATCCATGGTAGTTTTGCAATTAACTTGCCCAGATCTAGAAGATATAGACAAAGGCCTTTAAACTGGAAGAAAAGTAAAAAAAAACCCGCAGCCTCCAATGATTCAGTTTCAGGAGTTTTTAATGCCTGGAACAACCAAAATCGCACAACATATTTCAATGTTATAAAAGCATGCTACCGTAAGTGTACATGGAGTGAAAAACAAAATGCAAATGGGTAACACTGTGAACTCAGAATACAAATATAACAAGAGCAGCACAGGCACTCAGTGAAAGATGTCAGTTCCAGAAGGATACTGAAGGTACATGAATTTTCCAGCACACTGTTTCAAAGAGCCACCTGATCAGCAGGATTGATCCGGTGGTGCACAGAAGGTTCACAGTGCCAGCTCCCCCGTAGCAAGTCTCCCAGTACCCCTCTGTACCCTTAGCAGGCCTTCCAGCACCTCGTAAAGCTGTTTGGCCGTTGTCAAACTACTGAATTTAGAAAAAGCCTTGTATCCATACACCATTAGTGTGTCTCATTAAAGCCCCCAAATCAGAGGCTCAAGAAGGGTCTTTTATAACGCTGATGTCTACAAGCTGTACAGTACGTTTGACATCAGGCCACTCCCCTCTAATTTTACAAAAACCCATCATCCTCTGTCAATCTCCCCACACATTCAAAGCGGCAATCTCCTTAAACCACAGCTCTGATACACCAGAAAAGGTAGAGCCAAGGTTTGGGGTTAGCACTGTTTTCTTGATAAATGGTTTGATATAACATGTTAAAATTGTTAATGCATGAGGTACTTGCTCAAACACTTCAATGTTTTACACACGTACCCTGCAGAGTGTTTATGGCTCCAAATACACTGAAAGACATAGTGGAAAAAATGCCCTCCAGTAATGAAAGGAGCAGAGGAAAGAGAAGTTGGAGAAAAGCCTTGAAAGAGGAAAGCCAGGAGGAGCAGAGGCAAGCAGAGCTGAGCTTGCCTACCAGCACTGCGTATAGATCTAAAGTGTGAGGCCCCAACAGCAAATACTGGGGCCAGCCTGCAAGGTGCAAGCGTGTATGGCAAGAAAGGACTACAACAGTGAGTCCTCTCTCCCTGAAGTGTAGAGAACGTGGTGGTTAAACAACCTTCACCTAGGCAAAGAAACCACCTTTAAACACAGGACCCAAGCAACCACATCTGACATGCATCTGCTTGAAAGAGCAGACATCCACTGCTTTATGAATGTGAAATATCCTCACCTTCCAGTTAAATGCCACCATCTTGGCTGCACAATGATATTGTCCGTCCCACAGCAGGCTGCGCCCCACACCGATGAGTGTCACACTTCTAAAGGCACAGACCAGGGCAGGAGCATCTTGAAGAAATGGAAATTAAAAAAGAATTAGCCGACCTGTTTCTACTCAGCATGTCCACCCTGCACCTCTCTGACAAGCTGATCTGCTGCACAGCGCCTGGCAGCGTACCAGTGCCGCACAGTTCAGGAATGACCTACGTGGGCCTTTTTGGAGCTGAGTGACAGGAGCAACACCCGTGCTGCTGAAGGACAGGGGTTTGACAGGCCCTGGGCGGGTGCCACACTTGCACAGTGCGGAGGCTGCGCTTCCACCACATGCAGCACATCCCAGCAGCTGCCCAACCGAAGACACAAGGCTGCCTGCCTTTGAAAGCTTGACACGGGTGCACATCACGATGCCTCACTGATGTTTGATATGTAGTGGACAGAAGCGCACCCAGAAGAGCTGTCTTGCGGTTTTTAAGCCCACCAGCCCTGTTCAGAGCCCAAACACCTAATGAATCCTAGTATCTAATATCATCTGCCAGTTCTCTCTGATTTACTAACAAATTAAATTCTCCATGCAGCCCATAATAACACAGAAGCAAGCTAACCACTCACTGGATCCCTTGAGTGGTCAATGTATGTTTCAGAGCTGAACTTCGGAGCTGAGAAATGCCCGAGGGGATGCTGAGGGCTGCAGCACACAGCCACAACACTGCCCTCCAGACTCTGCTTGCTGCTCCACCAGCGCTGACACCGTTTCAGCTGCTGGATTTCAAATTAAATACGTTTCCCTGTCTGATCCCCTCGAGGTGTTTTCCTCTATGCGTAACAACAGAATCACTGTTGAAAAGCAGGAGGAAGCCCTACAGCTTAGTCCAAACTTTCACCAGCAGCTGGGCTGAATAAATCACCACCACACCACAATAGATGCTGCTGACCTTTCTTCAGAAACAGGGAGTCAAGTAAATGTTCTTGCAGCTCCTGTGCTGCTCAGCCAGCTTCTTTGCAGATGCCCTCATTTCTCCAGCTAGGCATCCTCTTCTCTCCTCTTCCCCGAGCTGCAAAATCCTCACCCCGCAGAGACCACCCTGGAAACATCCCCACGGAGAGACACCACTGGAGATCTCTGTTACCAAGACCGAACTATATCGAAGCAGTGGTGTGGCCAACTCTTTTGTCATTCAGTATTTACTGTGTTGATCCTGAGTGTGCAGCTCCCTTCTTCCGTTTATATAATGTCAGGGCAGCTGTGAACTAATGAGTCAGTAGCACTTCACCTCCAAAAAAAAGACATTTTAACTTCTGACGTTTCCTCCAGAATTTCAGCGACCATTAAGATTTGAAGCCCCCTGACAGATGGTCATGGCAAAAACCCCACACCAGAGCAGAATCTGGTTCTCAGATGGGTACGTGCTTCTCAGTGAAACCCAACTTAAAAAAGCCTGGCCTGATCTGAAGGGATTGCGCTGCCCAACTGGGGTGTCCTCATCTCAAAATGCTAACGTGGGTGGGGGCTTCATCAGACACAGTCTTCACTCTTCTCCTAAATTGCTGTAAATTCTGTGCTTCAGCCAGAATCAGTTTTGCAACATATTGTAAAAAGGCAAGAATTCAGCCATTCAAAGACAGGCTAGCATCTGGCATATGATGCTGAAAATGGGGTTTTAGTGATTTTTTACGTACAGAAAAAGTTTTAGACTCAGCAAACGTTATGCGAGCCCATCTGTGGGGTCTGATTGCAGGGTACCGTCCCACCAACAAGAAGCAGCGTATAATGTGCATCACAGTGTGCGCTCCTAAAAGTGCTCTTGGTTGCGAGTCGGATTATTTAAGCATTCAGAGCAATACTTCTGTAATATTTCCGCTCTGCTGAGACACGAGCCTGAATCTGCCTGAATTGTGTATCCACCGGGAGTAGCTGCACTGAAGTCACAAAGGACAATAAGTAAAGAAATTCTCCCTTTGTTCCAAAGAGCGGTGTCTTGATCCAAAATGTTTCCTGTGAGAGCTGACACTTCTGATGATCTGTCCTCACAGGGTCTTCTGTGGTTGGAACTCAGAGGGGAAGCCACCGCTCTCTCCATGTTGCATCCCCACATCCTGTGCCACCAGCCTGCGGTGGTCAAGCACTTCTCCCCATTTCGCCTCTTGACTCTTCCAGTCTCCATTTTGATCCAGACCTTATTAAATACAGCTGAAACCCCAGGACAGAAAAAAATGGGTGGACCTGGGGCACGGGGCAGGGAGAAGAAAGTGGAAAAGGAGAGAAAAAGGCAGGGTTCACTTCACATTTGAAAAAAACAATTTGTTAGCACTGAGGTCATCAATTCAAAAGCAAAAAGCTCAGATGCCGTACTTTCAAGGTTGTGATATCTTAAAAGCATGCAGGCAACTAAACAGCTGAAGTTTCATGTTTGCCTTTTCAGAGGCAGATAAGGCACAGATAGGAGTTCAGAACACATCTACAGTCAGGCATTGTTCGTTCCCCAGGAAAATGCAAGCTCCCTTAACAAACACAGCGCTACTGGGAACAGAGACTGGGCCCCACGGAAGGTCACTATTACCTTCACTCACAACAAGGAGGTCTCGTGTTGAGACACGTGAGAAAGAAACAGGAACACTAGGCTCTGCCTGAAGCCCTGCCGGCGCCTCCGTGACAGATGCTCCATAAGCTATCCATCATCTACTTGTAGACCTCTGCGCCAGGTAGGGATAAAATGATATCACTCTCACATGTACTGGTGGCCTTCTTCACCGTGATTGCACCTCACAGTCACTAGCCTATTTACACTCAGACCTCCTCTGTGAAGCAGATCAAACTACTGCAGATGGGAAAGGAAGAGAGGGTCTGCCCACACCGCACATCTCAGTGCTGTACTAGCATTCCTCCATTAGCTCCAGATCCTGTGAAGTCTTCTGGGTCCAGAGCAGGCGGAGAGTCACCAATGCAGCCCTAGAGGCTCGTGTCCTCAGCAGGGAGAAAGAGCTCTCAGGCAGGGCTGCACCAAGTCCCAGAGCAAGACTTCAGCTGATACCAGCCCCAGGATCTCTGCACAGTGCTGTGTTGTGCAACACAGACCACCCCAGACAAAGGAGTTGGGCCCCAGTCAGATGGGAAGTCTGTGGTGGAGCACAGAATTGAGTCCAGGTCTCTCAGCCACTGAATTACAGTTCCAGTCCACCACAGCAACCACATCACAGCCCAGCCACTCACACCATTGTTTGCTTATGCAGCGGCAGAGCACTGACTGGCCTGCACGCACCAGAAAACGTCCACACAGGCATCTGGGTACTCACAAAAATGCTTGAGTTGTCTTGGCTGAAAGTCTGACTCAGCCTGCCAATAACTCCATCTACTCAACAAAATGGGACTCAAGATATTCTTTGTCTACTGGGGATTTCTGAGCATTTCCATTTTACCCACTTTGTGAAAAGCTGTAAAAGTCACCAGCCTCGGAAAGCAGACACAGTGGCTGTATTAAGTCAGAAGCACTCAGACCTGTGTACATTTACAGCCCATATGTGTAGGTAGGTGAAGACATCACTCCATTAAAAGACCTGTGTAATCGCACAGTTCATACCAATGTCACCGATAAAGAAATTCCTACACTAACACCAACTCAAGAAACATCAAAAACATAAAGCCATAGAAGATCTTCATACCTGAAGAAGCAGAAATGAAAATATTTGTGATTTCTCTGGCAGCTCATCACATGCTGCTAACTCTGGAAAACAAGAACAGAGCAGATGGGATGTATCAGTCATGGTGGCTGGATTAAAATCAAAACAAAAAATGCCAGTGGCACATCAGACTGTCCCACCGTGGGTCCCAGGGCATCATTTCAACCACGTCCCAGGGTCCTTGCAAGCAGCAGGCCATTGCTTGCTGCCACCGCCTTGCCCTAGAGGAGGGTCTGCCGGGCTGGCAGCCACCGCTGCCTCCATTCCCACCCTGGCTCTGTCCTGATCCCCGGTCGCCTTTCGTGGTCCCTGCAGCACCAGCGCCCAACACTGCCAGCAACCCACACACACCCATCAGGAAACCAAACTTTTTCAACGAATGAGAACTTCAGATCCCTCTTTCTCACTTATTTGCTTCTTTTTTTCTTCAGAAAACAAGAAAACTCGGCAGATCCATACGCAGTAAAGCGCGCTTCCAGGTGGCCGTGCATCATACCCCGCCTGTGGCAATCAGGCCTGCCTGGGGTTTACGGCAGGAGACCCGACCGTGCCTTCAG